CACCGCCCTCACCACCACCTCCAGCTGCGCCACCAGCATCTGCTGGTTCAGTATCTGCTGGTTCTGTAGCTGCTGCTGCTGCTGCTGTTGGTTCAGCTGCTGCGGGGGGTGGAGCTGCTCAAACTGGCGCTGGTAGTAGTCGAGCGACTCGATGCGCCGCTCCCGCAGCAGCTGCCGGTTGCTGGCGTGCGAGTTCACGTGCTGCGGAGGACCGCGAAAGTGGTGCAACGGCGGTATCGAGGGAAAGACTGTGGCCACGGAGGCCGCTCTGGCTGCTGATTCAGTGGAGGAGGAGGAGGAGGAGGAGGATGAAGAGGATGATGTTGATGGAGCTGATTGGGAACGAGGAGGATGAGGAGGAGATNAGAAGGAGGTGTTAAAGATTTTTTAGGTTGTGAAGAAGATGATGGCGATGGCTTCGGTTTAGCTGGTGGCGGTGGCGGTGGTGGGGGTGGATGTCGTCGCACCGGAACGGCCACGTCTTTGGCAGTCAGGTAGGCCATCATGTTGCCCACCTGCAACAAAAATTGAAGTTTACAAACCAAATGCCTAAAAAAACCAATCATGATTGGTTCTTTTTTTAGATCATACAAACCTTGCAAAACTCGACGCCGTGGGTAAACTCAAAGTCCAGCCCCTCCTTGGAGATCTCCACCTTCGCCCACTTCCAGCGAGTGTCGTCGTCCTTTTCTTCCTTCTTTTGAGCCTTTCCCTCTCGTTGTTGCTTCTTCGAGCCACCAACAGCTGCCTCCTTGTTCAGCTGCTGCTCTTCCACACCTCCTTCTTTTGTCGTAATCTCTTCACCCTCACTTTCCTCCTCTCCCTCCTCCTCCTTCTTCTGACAGAGCTCACAGTTTGACTGGTGGCAGCGCTCCCTTGTGAGGAGGAAGGCGCCAATGAAGAGGACGTTGCTGCTGCAGCCGCAGATGTAGAGAATGTGGTGGGCGTCCAGGGCGACGGGCGTCTGCGTGGCGGCCTTCCGCCGGGTGCACATCGGCTGCGTCGCCTCCAGCGTCGAGCGAATGTCAAAGTGGAGCGGACAGCGGACGCTCTTGCGCGGCGACACTCGGTGGTGGTGGCCGGGCTGGTCCGCCGGGCAGCCGTCCACCCGGCGCCAGCAGTGCTCCCGCAGGTGAAAGGCGTACACGTGGTTGCAGGGCACCTCACTTTCCTGTGAAAAGGGGCCACCGCCCAGCGTGGACACGTAGCGGAGGCCGTTAAAGACGATCAGCTCGTCGCCGATGACCACCGCCGAGTGGTTGCCCGAGCGAAGGAGCAGCTGCTGCTGTTGCTGTGATTGGGGTGGCTGCTGCTGGTGCTGCTGGTTCGGGTTCGATTTTCCCTCCTCCTCGACCAGTGGCCCAATGGGCAGCTGCGTCCACCGGTTCTCGGCAATGTCGTAGAGGTGAATGTTCCAGAGGAGACGGTCTCGCGTGGCGAGGTTCTCGTCGAAGAGGAAGCCCCCGAAGAGGACAATGTACTGTCGCCGTTCGCCCGTCGCCTCGTCCGCCGTCTCGTAGGGGGTGAAGGAGCAGAAGATGCGCGGCAGCGGCGGTGTGCCCGCGGCGATGATCCGCGTCCAGTGCTTGCTGGTCATGTCGAAGCGCCAGAGATCGTTGTAGGCGGTGTTGGGCGCTATGCAGCCGCCGAAGATGTACATCGAGTCGTTGAGGTAGCAGGCGCAGTGGTGGTAGCGCGGCGACATCTTCGGCACGATGGGCTTCTTCAGCAGGTTGCTGCTGCTGCTCCGGCTGATGGGAGCCACCTCCTCTGAGGGCTGCTTAAAGTCCTTGATCACCTCCTTCACCGACAGCCACTGGACGTTGTGGCGGGCGAGATTGTGCTGGAAGACCTCGTCCGCTTTGTTGAGGTACCCTGAGGATGATCAATAAGAATTAGAATGATCAGTTTCTAAATTGATCAGGCTTAAGTTAAATATTACCTTTGATCAGATCATTCCAAGAGGAAGAGATGAGCCGCATCTGCAGCACTTCAAAGTAGGAAAAGTGCGCCAGAATGTACTCCATGACGATCGATGGCAGGTCGGGGAAGCTTCGAGTGATCTTTTCTACTTCCCCTTCCTCTTCTTCAGTTGAGCTTGAGGCGTTTGCAGTTTGAGCTATCTTTGCCTTTTCTTCTTTTCCGTCATTCTCTTTGCTGCTGGAGCTGGCCGAAGTGGACTCCAGCGGCGGTGCTGGTGGTAAGTCCTTCTCGTCCATGATTTGAGCTTACTTGGGAGTTCAATAGTTCTTTTTGAGACAACTTCTTCTGAAAAGCTGACAGGCTTCAACAAAGAGTTTCACGTCAGAGAGAAAGAAAGAGTGGAAGCAACTTGGCAGCAGCAGAAGCAGAGATGCTCACAGTGACACAAAGTGATGCTGCCAAAAGCTTTTTTTGGCACTGCCAAAAGCGGGCTACGTGCACCTCGGTGGTTTGTTGACGTTTTGAGGGAGAGAGAGAGGTGCAAACAGACGCGCCTGATTTTCTCAAGAGCAATATTTTCCCTCGTTTTTCGTCTTCCAACTTTTGACTTCTACTTTGATCTCCTTTTTACTTCATCCTAAGGCCAAGATGAGCATGGACGAGGATGACGAGCTTCTCTGGCAGACCTTCATCAACTCCCTGTGCGATATCCACCCGGGTCAGGCCCCGCCGCCTGCTCAATCTCCGCTGCCCTCTCTGCCTTCCTACCTAACATCGGATGCAAACAGTAACACTAATTTCGAAACAACAACTTCAACTGCTAGTGCTTTTCCTGCTGCTACCTCATCACTTTTTGAGGAGGAGATTGACGATCCGAACATCGATCCCGACTACGATATCATCAAAGATCTGCAGAGTATAGAGTTTGAGGATGAGGACCTGAACTTGAGCGAGTACCTCAGCTTCATCAATGAACCACAGCTGCTCACTGATCCGGAGAGTGCTGCCTCCACTTCTGCTGCTGCCGCTGATCATATTGCTTCAACAGCCACTTCCAGCTCAGATGTCGACGGTTCAGTCAACAAGGACTACTTTACCGCCGAGCAGGGCAAGACCCTTCAAAGTCAGCTCGCCTTTCACCTTCAAGCGTTGACGCAAACGCACCTGCTGGCCTCCGCCAATGCGGAGCACCAGTCTCTCAAAGAAGGCTCGAAGCAGATGCTAGACGAGCTGGCCAAGTTTACCGAGAGCACTGAAAAGACGATACAGGATGGCCGTTCAAATGGCACCGCCTGTACGGTGAACTTGGCCTTTGAAGGCGTGCCCGCTTCCGCCGCTCTGACCTTCCTCTCCGAACGCGGCCCGCAGATTGTAAAGGCCGAACGACGGAACAGCAGCAAAGGCATCGAAATCATATCGGAGTTCTTTCGCCGGAGCATCCTCTCGCGACGTGATATCTTCCAGTTTGACTGGGCCTTTCCCTCAAAGCGCTTCCTCATCGGCGAGCCTCCTCTGCTGCCACAGCTTAAATGTGAGGGCGAGGAGGGTGAGGAGGGTGAAGATGGCGAAGAGGGAGATGCGGAAGACGGAGCTGCAGCCGAAGAGCAGAAAGGTGACAAAAAGCAGCTGGCAGTGGCGAAGAAGACCTACTTCAGCCTGGCCGAGGACTGGCTGCTCGCCCTGGCCATGGACGAGCAGAAGAGGCGCTCCACCGCTAAGCGTGCCTTTCGCGCCCTCTTCGATCTGATCACCGAGCTGAAGTTCCTGCCCTCAAAGACCGCCACCAGCCTGCGACTGCACATCAAGTACTTCCGGCGGCAGCTGGCGCGCATTGAAGAGCTGACCGAGGAGGAGCTGGCGGAGAAGAGGAACCACGCTCTGGCGGAGATTGCCCGCAACCCGGTGATGCACTACCTGAAGCACGGCCGCCTGCCGCCGGTGGCCGGCTTCGAGGACCCGCAGCGGGACGTCTACCGCAGCCTAAGGCGGCCGCCGCGCTGGCTTCGCCGCCGCGAGAAGGAGGACGACAAAGACGAGCTGCAGATTGTCCTGGAGCCGCCGCCGCCGGCTGCTGCTTCGGAACAAAAAGCAGCACATCAGAATCCTCAGCAGCAGTTGCGGCCACTTCAGCCGGCAATACCTGCAACGGTGATGATGCCCCAGATGCCGATTGAGGTGATCTACCACCAGCCAGGGTACACCATCATCACACTGCCACCCACTACCATAGACACTTCCTCCTCACTCCAAACTCAACTGCAACTCCAGCAACTTCAACAGGAGCAGCAGCAACTGCAGCAGCTTCAACAGCAACAACAACAGCTACAACAGCAGCAACTTCTGCTCCCCCACATGACGCCCATTCTTCCGTTTCCTTCATCCTCATCCTCCTCCTCTTCCAGCTTTGTTGTTGAAGCAGCAACAACAGCTGCTACCTCTTCTACTACCACTACTACTACTTCTGCTACAAACTCAGCGGCCATGAACGATCTGCTCGATTTGAAGAAGCAAAGGATAGAGGGGAGAAAGAGGCGCAATCGAAGTGTTTCGCTGAAAAAGTCCTCTCCAAAAACTTTGGAAACTACTTCAGACGCAGCATCTGATGATCTCCTACCGCCGACGAAGCGCGTTCGCTTTGACGACCGAGTCGAGGTGTACGTCTTTTCCAGCAGCTGTTCTGGGCACGAAAGTGGAAGTAGTAGTGGAAGTGCAGTGCTCAGTTCTCTGTGTCCTAGTGGTGGTGGTAGTGATGGTGGTGGTGGTGGTGAATCAACGGACACCTTTGAAGCTGAAGGTGTTGATGGTGGTGATAGTGATGATGATGATGAGGGTTCACCCAGCGTCAGCAGCTCCAGCAGCAGTTCACCCTCCTCAGCAGAGGAGGTCGTCGAAGAGGACGAGGTGAACGCCCTTATTTTAGAGGGTGCTGAGCCCTCAAACTGTGATGACCACCAACTACAGGAAAAAGATGATCAACCGTGCAATAGCGACAATGGCAATCAAACTGAAATCTCATCATCATCACCACCTGATGATGATGTCCCTAAAGCAGCAGTGGAAAAAGTGTCATCTCCTCTGCCACCAAAAGCTGCCGATTCTTCACCTTCTGAACCACAGGAAGAAGAAGCGGAGGAAGAGGAAGAAGTGGCCGAGGGTGAAGAAGAAGAAGAAGAGGACGACGACATTATCGAGGAGTTTGTCGCTCCGGAGAGTGATGACTTTATCATCGAAGAGGAGGAGGAGGTGGGAGAGGACGCAGAGGACGGCCCCGAGATGATGGCGATGGAAGAAGAACTGGAAGAAGAGGAGGAGCTGGAAGAGGAAGAGGTCATCGAAGAGGAGGAGGAGGCGGCTGGCGAACTGGCGGACGACTACGACGAACACGATGAACACGACCTGCATGCGCTGATGATGGCCAGCTGTACGGCGGTCAGCAACCGGGCCCGACAGGCCTCATTATCAGCAGATAATCACCACGACTCGACAAGCTCTTCAGCATCAGCCTCCTCGACCCACCACCAGCAGCTGACCGGCCCGCAGAAGATCACCAAATCGCGGGCCATTGCCCTGGAGCGCCAGTCGACGCTGTACTTGCTGCGGAAGAGGACGAGCCGCGTGGAGCACTCGGCGGAGGAGGAGCAGTCTCGGGCGCAGTTTGTCGCCTACTACCTCAAACGGGCGCAGGAGGTCCTGGGCACCGAGGCGTACGTCGACTTTCTGGGCCGGCTCGTCAGCCTTCAGACGCAGATGGAAGTTCAGAAGAAGATGAAGGGCAAGAAGAATGCCGCCTCAGCCGACCTGGCCGCCGCTCGCCAGCTCTACCAGGGCATTCGGGGCTTTCTGACCGGGCTGAAGCGGTCGTGCTCTGAAGATAGCGATTCCAAAATTGCCCTATCGGAGCTTGACGAACTGATCGACATGGTGGTGCTCTTTCTCAGCTACCAACAGGCCGCGGCCGCCGGCGAGGCCTTCCGCCACCTGCACTGGCGCCGGGTGATGGACTTTACCCGCCAAGTCGAACTCTACCTCGGCTTCCTCTACCACAACAAGCGGACGCAGCGGGGGGCCATTCAGCGGCTGATCAAGTCGCTGCGGCAGATTGGGCAGATGAAGCAGCAGAAGGAGGAGGAAAATGGAGATCAGAAATTGTCGGCGGCAGTGAACATCGACGCGGCGATGAAGGCGAAGATGAAGGCGGTGGTGGGGCGCAGTCTGAACGGGCACACGCTGCTGCTCAATGAGTTTAGCACGCTCTTTTTGGACGACGCCCCGCCGGCCTGTCTGTACGCCAGTCCGGAGGACTTTGAGGAGTTTCGATTGGATGAGGACGATGAAGAGGAAGAAGAAGGAGGCGTAGAAATTGAAGAGGTTGAAGATGAGGATAATCATCGGTCAAAAAAGCGTCTTCGCTTTGAGCGAGTCACAGTGCCGCTAGGAAAGGCCGATCAGCTGTACGGCACCAGCGAGTGTCCCTGTCGGCGGTGTCACCATCGAGTGCCATCGAATAGTAACGATCAGCCACCACCAGTGACCATCAGCGGCGATGATCAGCCAACTACTTCCGCTTCAGCTTCAGCTTTGACGACTTCTAAAACTGATCAACGCATCACCAGCCACTGCGAGTCCTGCTCCATTCGCTTCATCAGCGGCCGCCTCTACGTGCCCCAGTACAACAGCTCGGTGAAGAAGGTCCAATTGGTGGAGCACGTTCTTCGGGAGGAGGACCAGGAGACAGTGGCGGAGGAGGCTGTCGAGGGGGAGGAAGAGACTGAAGAGGAGGTGGTCAAGACCCCTGAGGAAGTTACCTCCAGTCATCGAAAGTGGACCATCGAGGAGGACCGCCTGCTGCTGGAGGCCTGCCAGCGGGCAATCGTCGAGTGGCAGGTCACCGAGCTGACCGCCCAACTCTTTACGGCGGTGGCAAAGAAAGTCGCCGGTCGGTTCGTCGGCAAAGAGCCCGCCCGCAGCACCGGCGAGCTGGCTGACCGACTTCGCCTGCTCGTCGAGATGGTCACCACCGGCTCCTCAGCTTCAGCTTCAACTTCGACTTCGACCTCTTCGGTTTCTGCAGGCAGCACTTGATTTTGTTGCATTTTATCAGAGCTTTGCACCCCTACTTTTTTTTGTTCATAAACTCCCCTCATAGCATGCAATTAAAATTGTACAAATGTTACTTTTGAACTCCACTGATGTGTGTACCCGAGGTGAATACCTTCTCGCCCTTTTCCCTTCATCTTCCCGGTACGCAAATACCTCCTCCTCACCCAGCGAATCGTGTCGATTAGCAGCTCCATTG